ATTCAGGCCTACCTCAGACACTACACCGAGTGACCGGTCAGAGCACAGGCACGCGCTGCTACACACGAAGGCATGCGGAAAACGCTTTTATTGTTAGAAAATGTAAATGGATGCATGCCACAGTCGCGGCTCAGTGAGGGCCTTCACTGCACTCAGGTGAAGCTGCTCCCCTGTCTATTCTACCTAATGAACCAAAGGGGTGGCAGTGTGGTAGGGGATACAGATTTTGTGCCCCAGGAAAGCACATCATATTGGGCCCCCAACCAAGACCAATCCAATTATGTTGCAAATTTTTTGGGGCCCTCTGGAATGGGCCCCACGTCTTCCCTTTACAGCACCCCCGCACTGTAGCACCAGCTTTACGCCAGAACAGAGTGTGGTCCGGGTAGCTGTTCTGCAGACCAGGGGGCCTGAGCCTTCTGCCGCGTGTTCATAAAACGGAGACCTTGGGGCCGCTCCCCCAGGGAACGGATGGCGTACGGGCTATGGGGGTGCGTGTCACCGCTGTCACTTTGGCCACCTGCTTCGATCCAGGCCCTGGGCATCTCATCCCAGGAGGACCGCAGCCCAGCAGACAGCTCCTATTGGCAGCACTATTAAGACCAGTCTGAAGGATGACATGCTGCACTGGAAACTGGCACATTAATCTGTGTTCCCTGAAAAAAAATCAAGTAAGAAAGGGGGGGGGGATCCATCTCCACAGACAAGGATGAGGTGAAATTAGGTGCTTTATTTGCTATTTACACAAGTACTTTGGGATGTGGTTCTCATATCCTATCATGCTATCATGTGAGACACAGATATAGAGGTGAGAGTGAAGCTTGGGGTCAGAGCAGGACCAGCCATTTATCTGGCATTCCCTGGAGCATTTCAGGGGGGTTAAGGGTCTTGGGACCAACGGACATCTGCAGACTATGGGGTTCGAACCAGCGACCTTGTGATCACAGGCACGAAGGCCTGAGCTGTTGAGTGCCAGAGATAATGACAGACATGCTGGTTTATAGGCCCTGTTGTGCTTGGAAACGGACAGATCCGGCTTCTCATGATGTGGAGTGACTAGTCTGATGATTTGGGGGGGGGCGAACACAGCGAGAAAATCAGGCCCACACCTGCACTCAGGCGGCCCGCGTTGCCCTCCACTGCAAAAGAGACACTGGGGACACTGGGGGGTGGCAGCATGCGCATGCGGCCCCCGCTCTATATCTCCAGGGAGATGCCACTCTCATCCTGCATGATCCCCAACATGTCTTATGCAGCATCTGCTGATAGCTGAGCCCCCCCCCCCCCCCCATCTCCAGGATCACTTTTAAAAACTAGATTTTTTGCCATGTAGATAAATGTCCACTTTTCCTATCTTTTTCTGATGGTGTTTGATGTAAATGCTGACAGAGAATGCCAAGTCTATTTAAATTGATCATTACTTTCATAATGAGATATACAAAAACAATATGGCTTCACTCTTCCTTGGGTTACATTGACATGCTGCAGAATTGTATTTTTCCCAGTGATACAGGTGCTTGTATTCCGCTGCTCCATAGGACACTCTGAAGGCGTGTCAATGTTTATCCCCGGTGTTGACATGCGGGAATATAGCAGTGTCAGGATCCGATCTGTGATCCACTGAGCATGCCTGCCACCTCTGGACGCTGCTTGACATTTCAACGCAGAGACACTTCTGCTTTATTTACCGTGAGTTAATGGTGTTTGGGGAGGAACTTTAAAATCAAGGTGGGCTGCTCATTCGGGACAGAGGGGCCGCGGGGGTCACGAGGGCAGTCAAGTAATCTCTCCACCTCACGAATGAGACGGCGCCTAGACAAGGCGATATACTCCCTCGGCCGTGGCGTGTAAATGCAGGAGTGTACAGGCCTCTTACAGAAAGCCTTGGAGAGAAGATTGAGGTTTTAGCAGGAGAAATGTATGACTTGGGCAGTGTGTGTAACCATATTTCACATGGGCAGTATACACAAATATGGCATTTTCTGCATGAAAATCATCTCACATCAACATCCACAATACTGATAGCCCTCCCCCAATAAAAACGTTTTATTTAGCTTTGATTCATCTAAAGAGGTGAAATAAAGTCACGGAGCCTTTAAAAAGTGATGTTTGGTGGTTTGCTTGAAAGGGACCTTGCAGCATGGCTTCTTTATGTGGAAATGCAAGCCCACACGTTTGGATGAAGTGGCCCAAAATATTTATTTTTCATTTCATGGGCGAGACGCTTATCAGCGCGAGCAGCCTTCAGTTGCAGTGCGTAAGCGTGTGATTGTCCTTTTCAGTCTTTGCTCTGCTATATAAGAAGTCCATCCCACACCTGTGTCTCCAGCTCCTTCTGGGCTGGGAATCCTCTGCATGCAACTTTTCCTGCACAGCCTTATTTCCCTTGGTGATCGGTGCAGTAATTGTACTTTCATCTGCCTCTGAGTCAGATATCTCTGCCTTTGGTACCATGTTTATATTTGTTTGTCGGTGTAAACTTAATCCGGGATTCGTAACTCTGGATGGTAAGTCGATTCCCTCTTAAAGCCTAATATAACTAGAATCTTGCCCACAAATTAAGTGGAATACATTAAGGGATATTAGTTTTAAAGCATTTTACCTACATAACAAAGCTATATTTTGGTGCATGTTTACTATTGTGTCTTGCTAGGCTGCATGCAAACAGTACATGTCATTTTCTTCTTTATACCATGATATTCTCCATCTGCCGTTACAGTTTATCTAATTAATTGGCACCTTCATAATCACTACTTTGGTAATTTGTTCGTTGCGTGTAGAATGATAAAAAGTGAAAATGGCCTCACAACAGAGCAGCGAGGCCCATGCACCCAAAACGGCGCTTCACCTTGTGCCCTTTCGCCATCAGTGTCGTGGATGGCCGGGAACGAGGCCGGTCTGCGGAAGAGAGCGGGCACTCGAGAGCGAGGCCGTGATGTCAGAGTCAGCTGAGTCAGGAGGCACTGCAGGCAGGGCGATCCGGTGTAGTCCTGACCCGGCCCGACCATCCTCAGGAGACTCCCTACGGCCGGGGACCTTCCCCTGACATGGTGCGGCGATGGCTCTCTCAGGCACCATTCACCCTCCGCGTCAATAAACTGTCACGCCAGACAGTTTAAGAGTCATGTGATTCTGAGTCATGTGATTTACGTGCCTCTGTTTAGTGTCTCTGCCCCATGACGGACCTTGCAGGACCATTCACCCTCCGCGTCAATAAACTGTCATGCGAGACAGTTTAAGACTCATGTGATTCAGGTGCCTCTGTTTCGTGTCTCTGCCACATGACGGACCCTGCAGGACTGCCCAGCTGCCTAGATCTGTTTCAGTTACTGTAATATTAATGCTGGTGAGAATCTTAAAACCAGTAATAAATCAGATCCCTCTAGTGGCATTCAATGCAGAGAAATTCATGGTATGATTCTTTAAATAAATGTGGGGCGCTTTGTGGATGGTGTTCCCTGTTTTTTTCTGTGATTTTTTAGTCCCTGACCTGAAATTCTGGCCTCTTCTTCACAGCGTATGTAATCACACGGCTGGATAAACATGCGGCTACGTGGGAGTTGCACTTTACATGATGATGCTGTGCATGTACAGGGATGTCCTGCCTGCTTTATATATGAATAATCATAGAGGCCAGGCTCAGACCTACAACTTCACTGTTGTACCTGAGAATTGGGTATTTACCCGGAAGTGTTCTGACAATGGATCCATCTCACAAAAGAGTTAAAAACATACATTTGCTTTGGATTAAACGGTCAGCTAAGCAATTAAGTGGAAAGCCGCCTTTTGCGACGAGCTGGCACCCTGGACATGAAGTTATGAATTGCTTGTGTTTATAATGAGCATTACGAGTTAATTAGCCCCTGACATGTGCTCTTTGCTGCCCTGTGAAGTATGTCTATACAGCCTTCTGCAGCTGCCCATATATAACTACAGCGCCCCCAGCTGAAACCAAATGTGGGAATGTTCTTAAGGTGCTGTCCCTGCAGCTGACTAGCTGCACTGCTATCACTCTGTGATGTTTCATCCATATAACAGGGGCTGCCGCGATCTTTGATCTTCCGTCTGAAATATTCAAACTGCAATTGCCGGTGTATTGCTGTGCTCTGAGTAACCTCCAAATCTTAGTGTTTCTGTGCTCCGAGTAACCTCCAAATCTTAGTGTCGCTGTGATCTGAGTAACCTCCATGTCTTAGTGTCGCTGTGCTCCGAGTAACCTCCATGTCTTAGTGTCGCTGTGTTCTGAGTAACCTCCATGTCTTAGAGTCGCTGTGATCTGAGTTACCTCAATGTCTTAGTGTCGCTGTGCTCCGAGTAACCTCCATGTCTTAGTGTCGCTGTGATCTGAGTAACCTCCATGTCTTAGTGTCGCTGTGATCCAAGTAACCTCCATGTCTTAGTGTCGCTGTGCTCCGAGTAACCTCCATGTCTTAGTGTCGCTATGTTCTGAGTAACTGTGCTCTGAGTAACCTTGATGTCTTTGTGTGACTGTGCTCTGAGTAACTTCAGTGTCTTTGTGTGACTGTGCTCTAAGTAACCTTGATGTCTTTGTGTTTGTGTGCTCTGAGTAATCTTTATGTCTTTGTGTTGCTGTACTCTGAGTAATCTTGATGTCTTTGTGTTGCTGTGCTCTGAGTAATCTTTATGCATTTGTGTCACTGTGCTCTGAGTAACTTCCGTGTCTTTGTGTCACTGTGCTCTGATTAGCCTTGATGTTTTCGAGCTGCTATGTTAAGAGTAACCTTGATGTCTTTGTGTTCCTATGTTCTGAGTAACCTTCATGTCTTTGTGTCGCTGTACTCTGAGTAACCTTGTTATCTCTGTGTCGCTGTGCTCTGAGTAACTTTGATGTCTGTGTGTCACTGTGCTCTGAGTAATTTTTATGTCTTTGTGTCACTGTGTTCTGAGAAACGTTGATGTCTTTGTGTCACTGTACTCTGAGTAATGTTGATGTCTGTGCCCCATGTTCCAGTGTCTGACCCTCCTCCTCTTTTTACCAGGTCAGTCGTGCGGTGGCTTGGTGCAGGGTCTGAATGGGACGATAGAGAGCCCCGGCTTCCCACATGGTTACCCCAACTATGCCAACTGCACCTGGATCATCGTCACGGGGGAGAGGAACAGGATACAGCTGTCATTTCACACCTTCGCCCTGGAGGAGGACTTTGACATTGTCTCCATCTATGATGGACAACCTCAACCTGGCAACCTGAAAATGAGGTAATGGCTTTATTCTTCTGTGGTAAAACATGCAAGGGGTTCGCTGGGTTACCTGGACTTCCTTGCACTCTCTTTGTGACCTTGGCTTGGGGACTGGAAGTTTACAAAGGCACTCAGGCAGCAGGGTAAACCCTGGATGTATTCTGGGTGTAACCTGACCATCAAGTTTCCATTTGAGATCCTGTGTCTGCTGGATATAAGTGTAATTTAGTTCCAGTTTGCTGTTTTTTGCATGCAGTTTGGTCTCAGCTGCAGAAGGTGTCGTGGCTTTTCATCTTCTGAGGGTGACCCCCTTCCTGAAAGCATAACTGTAACTAAGTCAGCATGCCAGTGCATTGTGAAATGTGTGGCATCATGGGATGAGAGGAAGGACACTCAGTGAGGGCACGTTGATGTCCGTGCTTCTGTGCCGCACCAGACGTCACCAGACTAGCACCTGCCGAGTGGCACGGTGAAAATGAAACGTCTCCCGTAATGAGATGTAGAAGGCCTTTAAGTGTCCAATGATTAGCATGCGCATTAACATACAGACAGTCTGACTGAAGGAGACAGAAACAGGCGTAGAAAAGAGCAAAAAATGTTTACTAATCGCAAATTATTAAATGCGCAGCTTGTAAAAAGGACATTAGGCTTTCAGAGCAATTCACATTAAATGGCACTTAGGAGACGAGGTCTGAAATGTGTCAGGGGTGAGGGAAAGAGGAATGGGGAAGGAGAGAGGGAGCAAGGGATGGAGAGGAAGTGAGGGATGGGCATGGATGGGGAAGGGGGGAGAGGGATGAGGAAGGAGAGAGGGATGGGGAGGAAGGAAATGAGGGTTGGGGGTGGATGAGGAAAGGGGGAGGGAGAAAGGGATGGGGAAGGGGAGAGGGAGAGAGGGATCGGGAGGGATGGAGAGGGATGGGGGAAGTGAGGGATGGGGAGGGATGAGAGGGATGGAGAGGATGTGAGGGATGGGGGAGACTCATCCCTGTAATCCTGAGTGATGGCAAACATGCCTCTTCATTCCTGATCAGCCAACTCACAGAATATAACAGGAGTCAATCAAGGCTGGCGGTGCTGAGCTCTATTATGGGATGTTTATGAAAGTGTGATAATGACGATGGATAAAGCTGACAGCCGCCCTCCCCCCACCACAAGCCCTGTGCTGTATAAGCAGCTGTGGAAGATGGATGGATGATGGATGGATGGACGGATGGATGGAGGGAGGGAGGGATGGATGGATGGAGGGAAGGATGGATGCATGGAGGGAGGGAGGGATGGATGAATGGATGGATGCATGGATGGCTGATAGATGCTATTTGATGGGGGTGAAACTTAGGTAGACAAGCAACAATTTGGGGAAAGAATCAAGTATAACATGGCTGAACCTGATCCCCTCACAGCTGGATCCCAGCACGTCTGAGGACTGCTTTAGTGACCATGCCCACCTGGGGGTCCGCCTTCGGGTTCCTGCCCTGCCCCGCATGCCAATAAGAAAAGAATTGATGCATCGCCATGGATACGGCACTGGCATGTCTGAGCTTCTCCCCTATCAGATAGTGATCTTCTGGAACAGCGGGCCTATCGCGCTGGCATTCGCTCCCGAATTAAAGCACCTCTTTCAAGGTCAAGTGGAGCCATGATTCAGCATTAATCACCAGCCGCGTGTCAAGAGCCAGCCGAACTATTCAGAGCCGACCTGGAGCACTCTGTATATTCCGGGCCCTGCGACGGGAATCTGTTTCCGGGAAGCAAATTTAATATTCTGTTCATGTCCGTGCCGCTGTTTATACATAAAATATGCCAACCTCTCCTTAAGTTTTATGTGTCTTCCAACTCATTAATTTTCTATTCACAGACTGTTCACATAAGCTTAATGAACTGCTTATTGCCATTTTCAGGATGGTCTGAAGCCTGTTTAAAAACCACGCATGCGCTTAAAGAGGGAGAAAGGTGGCAGCTTAGCTGTTTAAAACTTATTGACACTTACGGTTAGTCTTATTTTTAGGGAGAATCATTTCATGTTTGCAAAATATCACAATCTATTGGAGACAGCATCTCTCATACAGTTCAGGGTTAACTAATGTCTTTGGAACTGGCCATTTGTTTATTTAAATCAACAAAATGTTGACTTTGTTACTCATAATCGGATATTTTGAAAGCTGCCTTGCGTAAGGATGAAAATTTACCATTTGTATGATGCAGATACATGGAGAGATCTTTAGTTTTTGCATATCTCATCTGGGTTGAGAGATCTTCTGTCACACATAGGTGAAGCTTGGGTTCCGAGTGCACGGTCAGCGGTTTTTGGGGTTAGGTACCCTTCTGTCTGACGGGGGCTAAATACAGTCCCATCGTACTGTGGGCATGGACCTGATGGAAGAGTGCTGAATAAATCTGTGTTGGGGGGAGAAATGCTCCCTAATTGGCAGGTGGTCCTCATTAAGCTGCCCACCTTTTCAGCGCAGATTGAATGCCAAGCAATCACAGACTCGAGGGCGCTGACCGCATGTCATGGATGTCTTGTCATAGTGTGTTCTCTGGAGCAGGCAGACTGGGTTCAGCACCTGGAGCTCTCAGGACAAATGGGTCGGTTCCTGCCTGATTTAACGTCACGCAGATGAGATTCCTTGTTTTATAATGAAATGTGACCCGGGGAGGGAAGGGCTCAAAGGTGTGGCTGGGGGTGGGGGTGGCTAGACTGTGCAGAATAGACAGCAGAGCATGACACCCATCCATAGTTCCATCTATGCACCCATCCATCCATCCATCCATCCATCTGTTTTCCAGATGCTTCTCCTGGATGGGGGGGGGGGGTCTGGACTCGGGCATGACCTTCCAAAACAACTTACTTAAGTTTAAGTATAAGTTATAAAAATTAAGCTTAATATGAAAGGCTTCAGGTATTTAACAAATTATTGAAATAATCTGTGACAACCCAACCTGTCCCAGCCTTATGCTCCAGGCCCCCTGACCCCTTACAAGGATAAGGGGCTAGAAAGTGGATGGATGGATGGATGGATGGAAGGAAGTATGGATGGATAGATGGATGGATGGATGGATGGATGGATGGATGAAAAACAGCCATGCTTAAGATAGTGGATAATTCTTGTAAGTATTTTCACAGCTGATGGTCACTAAGCCGTCTGAAGTGTTTTGACTGGAGAGGATATGAATGGCTTAAGATTGTTTGTTGATGTTCTTTCATGTTAGTATGACTTAAACTGCATTCACATATAAAAAGCAGCAGGTACATTCAAATGACAGAACCTCTTGCATCTAATGCCACACTTAATTACATAATTGATTTAATTAAAGCGGAATCGAGCCGTTAGAGAGTGCCAGAAGTCTCGCCGTGCGGCACTTTTGCTCTGGTATCTTTTAACTGGCTTTGATGTATAATGCGAAATACGGACCGCTGGGGCCTGGTTGCTTCCTGCTTCCGTCTCGAGCTGCGACCCTGCCTCGTTCTGCTGTCCGCATCCTGCTGGACAGTTTGGTTGGCTGCTGGATGAGTTTATTTCATTTGTGAGTTTTATTGAAAGCAATATGCAATTTTAAGATAGCAGGTTCACCAAGTCCCTGGAGCAGTTGGGTGCTCAAGGGCCCAATGGTGAAATCACCATGCAGGTCTTGGGATTTGAGCCAGCAACCTTCTGATTATAGACACGGCATCCTTGATTCATCAGTAGATAACGTAGGAAAGGTAGTACAGGCAGATGGGAGTTCTTTGGTTTTCTCATATCCCATCGTGCTCTCCTGTGAGAGGGAAGCTTGGGGTCAGAGTTCAGGCCAGCTCCCATTCCTGTGCCCTGGGGAGACTTTTGGGGTTAGGGTAGGGTTAGGGTTAGGGTAGGGTGAACGCATGTCCTTTTTTCCCCGCACTTGTCCTGTTTTTTGGGATGTGAAAAGGCCTGAAATGTCCTGGATTTCACTTTGTGTCATGCAGAGGTGGAGATTTCAGGTCCAGAGAGTACAAATAGTACAAATCAAGACCAAGATTTTGTTTCAACCAAACAGTATGAATGAGTCACAGTCACAGATACTCAACTGGTTGGTTGAAATTTGTATTTGTATTCTCTAGACCTGAAATCTCTGAAATCCCATGAAACCTGTGGTGTCATGCTTGCTCTCTACAGTCTCGGTACGTCCTGGGTGCACACCTGCCTTGTTGTGCCACCTCTCTTTGTGTCCTGACGCTGTGTCAGAATCTGGTCACCCTAGTTAAGAGCCGTGCTGAAGGGCTTGACAGAGATATGATCACTTTAGCCATTCACCACTGTCAGTGCTGGAATTCAAACCTACAACCTTTAGGTCACACAGTTATTCCCTGTATATGAACTGCATTAATCACAAGTAGATTTTAATAGGAAGCTATTAGCTATTACCAGTACAGCACAGGCAGATAGTTTTAGTCAATTTTTCACTAGTGCTTAAATTTACTGTCCCACGTTTCAATAAAATCTGGTATTTTCAAAATATTGTACTTTTTGCCAGAAACATGTCTGTACGATTGTTTAATCTAATTCCAAGCTACAGATGAACTCGGTGTCATGAATGAAGCACTTTCCCTTCTTGGAAGGTTCACTTGGGCCCGGGATGTTGCAGCTGTGCCCGTTACCAGCTGGTTTCCATTTGGACCTTTCCATGGTCTGTACAGTAAGGGAAGCTTTCATTGATTGGTGCTTTTATTAAACTTGCACTCCTGATCACCTGGGATAATCAACCAATTTCATCACTTGCAATAAAATCCCTAATAAGGCTTCCATTGCCTCGCTTTGTAACTTCCACTAAGCCTTGGTGTAAAATGCTAGTTGTCAAACAGAGATTCCATATTTTTAAATCAAACTACCAGTTAAACTAGTAGGGCTGTAAAAGATTAATGATGCTTAAACAGGCCATGTTACATATTAAGTCCATTTCTCATTAACTCAGCACCTGGTTAAGGTCTTTGAGAATGGATTAGTAATCTTTAGCGGTGCTAGTGATTAGGGATTCCTGTAAGTGTACTCAGAAGG